AACATTAAATTGTAAAATGTCAAGTAAGTTGTTACTACAATTAACTAATTTAAATTGATTGTGATGATTAAGTGTTAACCAAATTACACAGTTAATTATGTGAATCATCAACTTTAATTGTTATCATCAATATTATCATCTCTTTCCTCTTCAATAGACAACAACAAGTGATGATCGAGAAAAGTGTTAATTGATTAATCATCTTAATTGTTATCATCGAGAAAATTGATTAAATTAATTATCTAATTTCCTTGTTTCTTAGACAACTTTAATTTTCACCAGCAAATGATGATTAATTGTTGCCAATTGATTGTTAAATCTTATCATGATTAACTTACAACCGGAAGTTTTCATGAGTAAACAAAACAGTGAATTAAATTGTTAGGTTGCTAATTAACTACCAACATGATTCACTTGATTAACTAATCAAAGTAAATCGTTCATTTCTTAGATTAAAAATTGAATACCCTTAGTTACATTGATTGTTAATTCTAGCTGACAATTAACCCTGAGAGTTTCTATCAACAATCATCATCATCATCATCAAAGTAAACAATTCAAAGTGATGAAACAAAATCAACAACAATTAACTATTCCCATGTTAACAATTAACACGAAATTTATCCCAAAAAAATGATCAATTCAACTGTCCAACTAATCAACTAATCAACTAATCAATTGGTAAATGTGATTCTCATAGTGATAGAATCCAATTTAGATTTTGATCAGTTAATTAAGGTGATGATCTAAAAGGATGAGGATGGAGATAAAGATGGAGATGAAAACCAAAGAGATAAATTTATTTTCTCTTTCTTTTTTCCTCTCTCTTTAGATGAAGACATCAACATCTTCCTATTGTGGTTTTAAGAAGATGATAAAGAAGATAATTCTATTTATCTTCTTGTATTGATATTCTTATGCATTCACACCTTTGGTCAAATGATGATAAATTTATCTTCTCACCTTTATCCTTATCATCCTATTGATCCTCATCTCTTGTTATCTTGTCTATTATTGTATCACAATCAATGGTTATCCAAACAAGTTAATCAAATTAACCTGTCAAAAAGTATCTCATCAATTAATTATTTACTCATTGACTGCGATTTTCATTGATTAACCTTAATTGTTACGATTTCATGTTGACATTTTGTTGATTTGTTTTTTCCCCTCTTACTCTTGTCTTGCAATTGATTTTGTCTTCTCATTGATCAATAATGATTATTAATGATGATTTTTATTATTTACCTTTGATTGTGATTCATGTTTAGTACTATTACTTTAACTAGCATAAGTTAATCAAACAATCAACTAAATTGTTTACACAAATTTAACATTGATTTAGGTTAACATTGATTATTTACCTAATTCCAATCAGTTTGTATTAAAAAAAAATAATTTTGTCCATTGATTGTTGTTGTTGTTGTTTCATTCAAAAGATGAGTTCAAATTACTATTAGTTTTACACTAATTGTAAACACATTATCATGATGATTTAATGATAATCACTAATGATTAAGGTAAACACGATAGTTGAAAATGTTGTATCATCTTTCATCCTCCTACACCACCCACTTTACCTTGATCTTGATAAATTGTTGATATTAAACCACAGAGAAACAGCTGATTAAACAATTAGCTTAACATGATGATCAATGATTATCTTAATCATCTTCAGGTAAACAAGTAAATCAGGTAAATGTTTGGTGATGATGATAATCCTAAAGGAGGCGGATAATATGAAAGATACGATATTTGATATTAGATAATAATAATAATTGTTATTAATTGTATCAACACACATTGTAACTATTGATACCTGGTGTCCATCCTTCTGGTCAATATCAAAACGTTGATGATAATAAAGGTTGCAGATGATTGATGAATATGATGATCATAATGACATTTGACCTCGTAAAAAGAGGAGAGAGAGATTATTTTGATTATCAAACCTTTTTATCCATTGACCTGAGAGATGGAAGATGCTGGTGTGTCGAAGAAGAAGAAAAAAATTGTTTTCGATTCGCGCCCTCGCCTCAGAATCGAAAATATCAAAAGAGAAAATGATAAGTTACCTTGAGAAGATGAAGAAGATGAAGATGATGATAAAATATAATAAATTGATATTGATGATAAAGAAGAAAACACTCCTATAAACGGAAGAAGAAGCTTTATCATCTTCTAAGAAGAAGAAGAAGAAGACAAAGAGAGAGAGAGAGAGAGAGAGAAAAGATTTTCGATATTGCGAAAATCCTATAGAATCTATTGGACTTTTATTCTCTTCCTTTCCAATCTTCCTCATCTTCCTCATCTTCACCATCTCACCTATTATATTATATTGAACAAAGACTAACCTTTGAAAGTTCATTTATCAACCTAACCTACAATAGTGGAAACTTTTACCTTTGAACATTCAAATGAATATATTTCATTGATTCTGTTGATTCTCAGCAATCAACTAACTATTACCAATGATTTATATTCAATCTTGAACCTCGACAGGGACGATTAATATTCAATAAGATATAAAGAAATGATAATATTGAGAAAATGTTATTTTCCCAATTGATGTTTGGTTGAAAATCACCAAAGTGAAAAAACCACTAAAAGTTAACCAACAATTGAATTAAATTAACTTATCATTTGGTTAACTTTTTCACTTGATAAATTGTTACCTTATTATTATGATTAATATTATCAACGATATCATCGACAATTAAGTTATACAATTTTCCTGTTCGTTGCAACGATTTAACATGAAATTGAATCTATTTTAATTGATTGTTTTTCCTTGAGATGGATTAACATCAAATTGATTAATCTTAATCAGTTTTAATCATTATCATTGCAACGTGTTGATTAAATGTGACCAAAAGTGATTTATTAACCTTTTCCCAATTCAACTGATTAAGTTAATTGTTCAACTATTGATTTTAAATCGGTCAAGCTCAAGGTTTCCTTATGGTTACAATTTAGCTTTCTATTAATAACGATTAAGGATTTAGTTGATTTAATCCGAGTATTAATAAAATATTGATAGATTTTAGTAATCAATTGATTGAGATTAACATAAATCAATCAATTAATGAATGAAACTAAATTAAAACCACGTTTGATTAACTAATATTGATTATCATTTGATCACATGTTTACATGTTTTAAACATGACAATTAGTTGATATTTTATAATTAACTTTGATTAAAGTTTTCCAACAATATGTTTAACTATAATTAACTAACAAGTTGCAATATTTAATTTTCATATATGTAATTAGTTAATTATGATAACTTGGATAGATTATCTTTCGTCTTAATTACAATTACATATCTAATTAATGAGTAATATCAATTATCAAGGATCATTGATTTAGATTAATTTTCCTGAGATTATTTTTCTTGTGGTTAAATAAACTTTTTTCATGGTTAATTAATAATCTAAATTAGCCGATTAATTATTCAATAATCAAGTGAACAACAAGCAAAAAGGCTGAAACAATTTAATTTAGATTGAGGACATAATCGTTACAATTAACTCTCTCTCTCTATGTTAAAATGATTGGATGAAAATCTGGGCTCAGAATGATAATCAATCCAATGATTAGTCCAATGGTCAATTAGATTTGTGATTAACTTTCAGCAATTTAAGTTTATTGGTAGATAGTTAAGTGATCCGTCAAGTTAAACTTAAACTGTCAAATAAGTAACACTTACAATTAACAAGCAATCAAGATGATTACTTGTTGAATCTTTTTTTTTTGCTTAATCATTTGTAATCTAATTGGAAAGTTTTGTAAACATTTACAATTAAACCTCTTTACAGTTAAATCATAAAATTGATTATTACTATTTAAGTTGCTCTTGTTTCACAATTAGCAATTAACTAACAGCTACTAGAAAACATTGATGATCATGTTAATTGTTGTTACTATTTAAGTGTTAAAACATATGTTAGTTAATCATTATTTAGAAACAAATTTCTCAATGATGATAATTATTAAGATAATTAACTTAATTTCAAGAGTCTTAGTTAATTGTGAATTTGCAATTAACTAAATCAAGAAACTTTTCTGTTGGTTAAGTTAATCATAAATTTGAAAATAATGTTTTTTAGGATAATAAAAAGTTTCGGCAAATATTTTTTACTCATAAAATTAGTTAATTGTTGAAACAACAATTTGATTTACAATTAGTTAATCATCATTTCTTGACTGATTGATTAATTTTTCCAACATAATAATTGTTACAATCAATAAATCAAACATGCTAGTCTATTTGATTTAAGATTAAAGGGAATCTCTAATTAGCCTGATTACTTTTTCATTTAACTTTAAATGGTGACATTTGATTGGTGAACACTAATTGTAATTAGTTAATTTGATTTGTAATCTATTTACATATTTTACCTTTTAAAGGTAAACAATTAACTCGTATCCATCCAAGTGAATCATTGATGATCACATTTTTATTGTATCTTATAAAAGTGTCACCAAATTGTGATTAGACTAATCTTTTGATAATCTTTGGTCAAATAATCAATTAAAATTAACGTTTTATTATCATGATTAAGGTTAACCTAATTGTGATGATTTCCTGTTGATTACAATTGAAACATAAACATGATAATAATAGTTTATTACATCAATTGTTTCATTAACCTTTGACCTTGTATTTACATTTGTCTCTCGAACTGACAGAAAAAAAGTTCTAAAGGTTGAAACTTTTTTATTCTGTTCGAAAAAACTTTGATAAAGAAAAAAAAAGTTTTCGAAAACTTTTCGGTCAATTATTATTTTCAGAGTTTTCATGTTAATTATCAGGAGAAACTTAATTGTGATGGTCTTAATTTAGTTTTATTGACTGTAAACAATTAAAGAAAAAGAAAAAGTTTTTTCTTTGTTTATCTTATTATGGATTCGTTTCCGTTTCTCAACTGACCAGCTCATCGGTACTCTACTGGTACTTTATGACCAACGCCTGTTGAATCAACGGGAGGTGTGACGAGGAAGAGGTTCTAAGTGGTAGTGATTGTGATGCCATGAGTGGTGATGAAGCTGACGATGAATCGTTTGTATCTTCATCTCAATATAATCATCATCACACTAATCAACAATTAACTTTAACAATGGACAATTTACAATCAAACGGATTCCTTACCAATTTACCTAAATCACTTGAATTACGTCCATCATCATTATCTTCAAATAACAATAATGATCTTCATCATCATAACTCCTCTTCCGGTTTACCAAGGTTAGTTGCCGTTACAACCAAAGTTGACCTAAGAACGGGGCACAGATTTGGCCCATTTCCGGGTAAAATAACCAAAGATCCGGTTCCACAAAGTTACAATTGGAAGGTAAGAGTTTCCAAATTTATTATCAATGTTGTTATTTATCAAATTAACCATGTAATTGATTCAGTTATCATTTGAAAATGAACAAATAGATTTTGTGTTTTCATTTCAACCGGAAGTTTATCCCACCCACTTTTTATTATTCTTATTATTGGTAAAACAAATATCCGGTTTTGAAACACTTTGTATATTTATTACAACATGATAATAATTGACGAGATAGATAAAAACAAACAAAACAAATAACATGATAGTTAAACTGATAATCAGGTAACAATCAAGGTAACCCAATATTAAATTGAATCATTATAATCAAAAGCATTTGTTTTTCACCAATTAGATTCCCATTGTTATCATGATGATATAATTATCATGTATTCCTGAAAAAAAAACAATCAACCTGAAAGGTTATCATTAACAAGAAGGTGATAATTATCAATATCAGAGTGGGAATGATCTATGAACTTGTATATTTATCCAGAGGGTGGGTTATTATTGTGGGTGGATCAAGATTATTTTAAGATTATCATTATAATGGATTGAACATTTTGTCAATTGAAATGCGAATTGGTAATAAATAAGCTTTAGTTTTCCAATTGAAAAAGATTGTACTGTAAACTTTGTGATTCTTTGTTGTATTTTAGATGTTGATTGAATTGTCATTTGGGTGACAATTTGAATCCATTTTGAGAGAGAAAGAGAAGATGAGAAAGAAGATGATGAGGATGAGAAGATGAAAATAAAGATACAATAATAATAACACACGTACACAAACGGCTTGAAGGTTTTAAGGTCTTAATCCGTCGTGCGCTTTTACTAGAACGTCGAGAAAAGTTTTAAGCTTCAATTCTGAGTTCCGAAAATGCTCTGACAATACAATATTATCACAATAGAAGAGTAAGTGAGAGAGAAAGAAAGAGAGAACACCTTTGGACAAAAGAGAGAATTGAAACATTAAAAGCTTCTCTTCATCTTCTTTTTTTTCCTCTAACACCATTCTCGTTTCGGCCTTTTGTATATTCGATATATTCGGTCTCTCTCTCTCTCTCTTGTTTACATTGGATTGCCACTTTCACCCTCACTGATGATCAGGATGATCTCTTTCTCTCTTTCTCCCTCCTTAGATCATCTTCTCACCCTTCATCAATAGTCCCAACTACCTTTTGGTCAAAACCATTGAAAAGATTCATTGAAAGGTAAACCTTAAAATCCAAGGTTAGGCTTTTTTCAAATAACTTTTTTCACCTTATACACCTTTGTGTTCATCTTCATCTTCATCATCATCATTATCATCATCATCTTTTCCTTTCTACTAGCGTCTATTTTGTCTCTCTCTCCCTCTATCTTTCACCTTTATCCTCATCTCTTTTTTATTTCTTCTTCTTCATCCTCATCATCATCATTTATCAAGATGATGATTGTTGTTATTATTGATATATGAAAGTTTCCTTAAAGATGATGAATAAAATTCAATGATGGTAAAATTTTTTCTCTCCTTCATCTTCATCTTCATCTCCTCTCTCTCTCTCTCTCTCCCTCTCATATCTTTTACCATGTCGAGTGTCAAAGATCATGTCATCCTTAATCTCTCTCCCTCAATCCCTTTGATTGAAATGATTAAATGATTAACTTTCAAGAATAAACTTCTAATTCAATATTTGGTTTTGTTTCTTTGTAACATGAAAATAATATTATTACATTATTATTATCATAATCTAATAACACAGATAAAAGTTGAAAGTTATTATCATTTTTTGATGTTGTTCCCTTTTACCATGAAATTCAAGTCTCAGAATCTGAATGAAATAATATCATGGAACAATTTAATGATAATAGTAATGATAATAAAAAAAAGTCTAATAGTTTGAGTGAAATGACAAAAGCATCTGGTTACATGTTACTTTGAGATAGAAATGAGAAGTTACTAAAAACGAAGAAAAAAAAGTTCCAAGTTCGAATATTCAGTTCGAATGTACTTCACCTTAATGGTTTCTCTTTCTTTACTTTTTTTTCTATCTTCCTCCTACTTTTCTACTCGAAATGATGATCTTGATGATGTCGAAAAGGAGGAGGAACATTTTCTGGGAGTGGGAGTGGGAAGAAGGAGAAGAATATGAAAGATTAACTCAGAGAGAGAAATGAGAATTTTCTCCCCATGTAATTGCCCTTTGAAAATTTTCTTATTTCATCTCATCATGTTTGAAATTCATCTTCAAGTTTCCATGGTAACGTTGAGCATTCATCTAAACTGATAACTCCAATTGAGATAATAACAATAATATTATCATTGTGGGCGAATGAGAGTAAAATTTACTGACAGCAAAATCGTAACAATCAATTGATTATCATGTAAGATAATTGGTAATTTTTTTATCATTACGGTTCAATATTTCACTAAATTAAATTACATCAGAAACATTCATCTTCAATTTTTCATCAATCTCATCATTATGATGATCCATTAATCCAACTTGTCTTAACCATGAAGATGAAGATGAAGATGATAATCTGAATGAAAGTTACAAGATCATCATCTCGAAACCAATGCAATTGATTTAAGTTAATCTAGTTTTCGTTTTCTATCAACTTGATTGGAAAATATCAGTTTATTATAATAATGAATTTCAGTCGTTCAATTGTCATGATAATCAACTGGAAGATTAAGTTGTTGTTGATGATTAACAATCGTCATCTCAGTTAACTCAATTTGAGAGTCTAAAGATTTACCTTGAATCATCTTCAAGTTTCCATGGTAACGTTGAGCATTCATCTAAACTGATAACTCCAATTGAGATAATAACAATAATATTATCATTGTGGGCGAATGAGAGTAAAATTTACTGACAGCAAAATCGTAACAATCAATTGATTATCATGTAAGATAATTGGTAATTTTTTTATCATTACGGTTCAATATTTCACTAAATTAAATTACATCAGAAACATTCATCTTCAATTTTTCATCAATCTCATCATTATGATGATCCATTAATCCAACTTGTCTTAACCATGAAGATGAAGATGAAGATGATAATCTGAATGAAAGTTACAAGATCATCATCTCGAAACCAATGCAATTGATTTAAGTTAATCTAGTTTTCGTTTTCTATCAACTTGATTGGAAAATATCAGTTTATTAATAATAATGAATTTCAGTCGTTCAATTGTCATGATAATCAACTGGAAGATTAAGTTGTTGTTGATGATTAACAATCGTCATCTCAGTTAACTCAATTTGAGAGTCTAAAGATTTACCTTGAATTTTAAGCTTACATGTTAAGCGTTAAAATCGACACCTTTTTTTGTGGATTGACGATAAAGATGAAGATAAGAAAAAGGATGACAAAAGAGATGAAGATGAAGATGATAAGGTATTAACATAGTTTCCAATAATATCTGACAATTGTCATCTTCATCTTCATCTTGAAACTATTGTCCATAACATAGTTTCCAATAATATCTGACAATTGTCATCTTCATCTTCATCTTGAAACTATTGTCCATTGATTGGAAACACACACACACAACATACAAAAGATTTTTTTTCTTCTTTTTTCAACTTGACCGATTCTCAAAGTAACAACAATCAACGATAATGATTAAGATGATGACCATGAACAAAAGGGTTGATTACCTGGACAGTTTATTGTTAAAATTTGGTGAAATATTTAAAGGTAAGAAGATATGAAGATAAAGATGACAAAAGGATGACCAAAAATTGGGTCAGAATTTGATTCTAATCTTCACTTATCCATTTTCTTTGATAATTTTCTGTGTGTCATTTGCATACAAATTGTTATCAATTTGATAATATAACTATAGATTGTTGTTGTTTTCCAGGCATTTGATTAATGTTGTTGATTGTTGGTGATTTATTTAATTGTTTACAGAAGCAGATTATCAATTTTGTTTATCTTTACAGAATTGATCGTGAGCTTGATGACAATATGTTACTATGAGGAAGATGAGGAAGTGGGAGGAAGGAAAAAGTTTTAATATCATTGATCCTCTTCCTGATTAGCGACCACCCTTTTCATCATTTAATCATCTTGATCATCATCATCATCCTCATCTTTATCTTGATCCCTATTCAGGATTGATAACATTTTCTTCAGTCAATTGGTTCATCTTAAGATTAATAGTTTATAATCTTTCAGTTATGATTCTTATAAATTGCCTTCGATTATGGGAGAGGATAGAGAGAAAGAGAGAGAGAGAAAAAGATGAGGATGCTAAAGGAAAGTAGAAAAAAAGTTATTTGGACACATCATTTACCCATTATTATGATTACCGTTATTACTGATGAAGGAAACAGTTTTTACAGTTGAAATGATTGGGAAGATGAGGAGGCTGAAGATGAAGATGAAGATGATTAAGGTAAGAATTGGAACGAAAAAGATATTCAGTTCTACAGGAAAAGTTTGATTTTTTTCGAGAAAACGAGAAAGTGAGTCAATTCAATTGCTTTTTTATGTGTTATCACCAATATTTTATGAAGAAGAAGCAAAAATGAAGATAAAGATGAAGATGAGGATGAGGAAGAAAAAAACATAAGCAATATTGTTGTTTATTCACTTTCTCTTTTTTATTCCATGATGATGTTATCCAATTTATCATCCAAATCATTCGATACATTAACCTTTAAACATTCCCAATCTTCATCTTCCTTATCATCATCATCATCTCTCTCTCATCCATATCCATCATAAACTTATGCTACCAAATTTGTGTAGTTACAAGTTAAGGGTGACTTGAGTTGATATTTTTGTATAATTTTTACTAACTTTCTCCCTATTCATCATCTCCATCATCATATTGATCTCTCTTCCTCCTCTTCCTCCTCCTCCATCGACACTGACCTGTCTTTGACCTTCATTGAAAATAAAATTAACTTAATATTATTACATTGATATCTTCATGTTGATTATGATAACAAAAGAAATGGTAGTAATAAATGTAATAGAATAACAATCGTAATGATGATAATTGTTAAAGTAAAGGCGTAAAAAAGGGGGAAGAGAAAAGAAGAATAGATGATGATAAGCACGCGTTTTGTGAGATGCGTTGAAAACGCGTGTTTACAGACTCGAAATTGGAAGTGAAAAAAATTGAAGGCTAGAACTCTGATATCTGTAAGAGAAATCGTATCATATACAAATATTATATATCTCTTCGTGTGTGTGTATATGTATATATGTTTGTCCCTCGGTGGTTTTTACTACACGTGTTTGAATTAATGTCTAAGTCAATGAAGCGATAGTGTAAATGATGATAATGATGATGGTAATGATGAGGATGATGATGAGGTGGGAGAAAGATGATCAAAAACTGAAAAAAACATCAACATTGATCCTCCTTCAGATGATGATAATACCCACCAAGGGCTATAGCTTTTTCTACCTCATATCTCCCGATAGTTGATCTCAATTGATTTGTGATAAAGATGAAGATGAAGATAAGGAAGATAAAAAAATCTCTTTCTCTCCAATTGATAGAAAGTGAGAGTTTGTTTTTTTTTTACTTATCATGTTTATTATTATCATCATCCAGTGGGAGTGAATTGATATCACACTGATTTATGTTGGTTTTTGTTGTCAAAGTGAAAAAAAAGTAAACCTTATTTAACCATTAATAGGAAATTGTTGATTAAATGGCTTCCATCATTATCTTCATCTTGATTCTGATGATCGTCATTATTTTGATGACAATGAATGTTTTTTTCGCCATCTTCTTGATCATCTCAATATAATCGAAAACCTTGAATGCTGAATATTGAAAGGTTTCCATGAATAAAAAAGTTATATAACATGAATTCAAATGTTTATCATGTTAATATCAAAGTTAATAGATAATGTTGATTACTGTTTACTGATTATCATTTATCATTATATTGTTATTAAAATGATTATATTAATAAATGATAACTTTGTTTGCTCCAATGTAAATATTTATCCATTTGAAAGATTAACCGTTATATTGTCCATTGATTTATTAAAACATCTCTCAGTCTAATCTGTTATTTTTATCATGAATTCATGTTGATATTATTACATGAGTAACAACCATCATATTTTTCAGGGTAAATGAGGCAACAAATAATTTTAACGTCAGCTTGTAATCATCATCATCATCACTTCCTCTTCCTTTCCATTTGTTTCTGATTATTAATTCACATTATTGTTCACATTATTACACCTTGAGTCTTGTTATCCTTGAGTTCATCGTTAACATGATTTTACAATCATTTGAATTGTTGATTTTCTTGTATGAACAATTTAAGTTAATTAAATGTAATTATCTGTTGAACCATAAGATGAATGATAGGATTGAGAAGATGTGATGGAACTTTTTTCTCATTCTCTCTCACTTTTCATCCTCTCTGAGGTGGGTAACACTTGATAGTTGGAAGATGATGATGATGAGGAGGAGGAGGAAGAAGAGGAAAACCTATATGATGATGATGATGAGGATGAGGATGGAGATGGATGATGATGATTGAGAGTGAGAGTGAGTCGTAGAGAGCAAGTGATGAGATGTATCAATAATATTCGAGGGCAGTTTCAATTTATGGATGAAAAGATATTATTTAAAAAACGAAAATTTTTTTCTCTCTTCCAACTGTGAACACTTTACATGATGATGATGATAAAGATGATGAGGATGATGATTTTCTGGAAAGTTTCAACTTTCCGTTATGAGATTCAATCCATCATGTATGATTACTTGAAACTTTAATATTACACTTTTATATTAACCATGAAATCCAATAGATTGAATCAATTTTGGTTAAAATTGAAATTTTATAAAACATTTACCGTTATCCTTGTGATGATGATGATGATGTGGGTGGAAGAGGAAAAGGAAACTGATATTTAGAAGAAAAAAACTTTTTTTTTCACTTCTCTCTCACTGTTTATCATCATCAACATATTATCAATCAGCTTGTCGTTAATTTAATCATAATCAAAAAGTTTGATTGTTATTAACACTAATCCATTAGTTTAATCAATCAAATTGAATAAATCTCATGTTAACCTTGAATCTATTTTCATGTTGATCAAATTGCTTAGTGATTTATTGATTGTAAGTTTATCTCAGATTAAATTGTTACAATGCTGTTGTTTTATTGATCAGTTGTTGATCATAAACAATTAATTTAGATCATCAGATAATTGATTTACTTTTTTCATCGACAAAAAGTTAATCTCAATTAGATTAATATATTATCCTCATCATCTTTATATTAAAGATTATTTTTGATTCTTGAATCATTGGAAACTTCATTTTCTCAGTTAATTAGTAACAATCAAATGGACTTGACTAATTAACTATTTCAAAGGATAGATTAACATTAATTTATATTCAGATTCTTTTCTCTCATGATATTATCATCATCACCAATCTCATTAACATGTAACAGATTAAAACAATTAACTTTTCCATCAGATATTCACCATCATTAATTATCCTTCTTGTCTCTCTCTTGGTGGAAAGCTTGTTAACTGATTATTAATGATAACCAAGTTAACTAATTTCAATTAGTTTACGATTCAGTGTTTCAAGTTTTTAACCTTTTCTAATGAAAAGGATCATACTAATCAACTTTTTCCTTTGGTAATTAACTGTGTTAATTTACTGATACATAATTTAAGTTGATTTATCAATTTCACCTTTAACTTTCCATATTTTCTTTAGCTTTTAGGTTTATATTTACATTTGTTGATTATCATCATCATTTGTTTGATGTGTTGATCATTTATCAAAGTGATTTTCATGCAAATTGTTTTTCTGCAACATCATCATTATCACCATTATTATTATATTAACCTTATCGTGATGATTATTACATCAATTTGTGTCATTAAGTTATTATCAGTGAGGTAAATGTTTTCCATGAATGATATTCAAATGAGAATGATAATAGTAAATAGAGAGAGAGAGACCAATATGGTTACAAGTTTGAAATCGTAATTGTTGAAATTTGATCCTTAATTGTGGGTGATAATAATACGACGCTGGTAGAGAGAGAGACAGGAAAGTAAAACCAAACAAGCAGCAATTTGAGATGAAATTGAACAGAATTGAGGTTGATTGGTGTGATTAAGGTGAAAAATCAGTTTCCAGATTGATTATGAATGTTTAATTTCATGTTTGTCGTGAGGTTGCATAAACAGGTCCAATATTGGTTTTGTTTCATTCCAATCTCTTGGTGTCATTCTGGAAAAACATTGATTATTTGATGGATTACAGTTATCACTGTTCCCTTGTGACAATTTGTATACAATACAAACTGTCAACTGTCCATTATAATCGTTATTATTACTATCATTATCATCGTCATCATTATTACCATTGTTATTATTTTGATGTCATCCTGAAAGAGAGAGAGACAGAGAGAAACGTTTCTATATTATTATTATTATTACTATGATTATGATTATTACTTTAACCATTAATGTTTAAGGTAAATGATAAAGGTTAGATATTTATAATAAACAGAATTGAGTGATTATGTTGAATAAAAGTGTCAACTATAATAGTCGCTATTACAATTAATCTCATTGAATCATTTTTCTTACCTTTAGCTCTTTTTTTTTCCTAATTCCATCGTCGTCCTCTTCCTCCTTTTCTTCATCGTCTCAATTAAATGATTACAGCCAATAATCAGGTTAATTGACAATTATTTTGCTCCATTTTGTTTAGTATATGAAACACAATACCAAGTCATCTGTGATTGATTGAATATTACTGAAGGAGAAAAAGGAAAAGGAAAATGTTACTTTCTAATAATATAATCAATGTTACCACAGGAGAATGAAAAAAAATGATAGTTTTTTGTGACAATTAAATTAATCATGGTGAAAGGGAGAGGGTGGATAGATGAGTGAAGAGAAAAGATTTCTATTAATTAAAAAGAATCGAGGAAAAAATAATAATAATAATAACACAGGACATTGAATCCTTAAGGTGAATACCTCATTCATGGGCTGTGTGTATGGGTGGGGGAGGTTGTCCTATCACGATAATAATGATGATGTGATGATTATGTGATTGTCATGTAATGATGAGTTGATGTAATGATGGAAAAGTGTCAAAGTCACGCAATCAGAGGGCCTTGATTACTGATGAAATGGTGAAGAGAATCAATGATTAGATAGGATGAGGAAAATGTAACCAATTGGATGGAGAGAAACTCATCAGGATTGAATCATTTTCTGTTGGGGGAAAAGAAAACCAAGACAAAGACAGTCAATTAGAATTTATATAAATTTGTTAATGATAGAAAATTAAATTACGTGATTTAGAAAACAAATGACAAACCGGATAAGATACACAATTAATATCCTATTGAGAGAGAGAGAGAAAAAAATCAATCAAATTGAGAAATTGACTCAACACTTTGATTACATTTCCAAAGACGATCCTGAGTTTTTCCAATGGAGATTACATGTGATAGAATTGATTCCTACGTGACTAGATAATCTACATGTTAGGAAATTAATGAGAAATAATATAAAAAAAACAGAACAATTAAATTAAGTGAATTAATTAACGGTCAGAAAATTTTTTCCTTCCAAATGAAAACAAAACAAAAATTCAAAATCTTTTCCGTTGGCGGTTAACATAAACGCTATTCTAATGCCATCTATTGGTGTGCGGGGAAATTTCCCTCGATTAATTAATTGGAAATTTAAACAATTAAAGGTAGAGAAGAAACAATTTAACCGATAATTGATTAAATAGGACAATTACATGACATGATTAAGGTAAATATGAGATATTGTTTGAATAAGAAGAGAGAGAGATTATGTAAATATTTAACAAACGCCTTCGCAATTAAATACTGACAATCAGTTGATTATCAGTGAGATGAATCAATCATCTGAGCTAATTGTTGGAACGGATGTTTACCATGATTGGGCGTCAATATGATTAGTAAATCATTGACACAGGAAATGAATTAAATAATAGTAATAAAGTTTAGTAAATTAAGAAAATTGTGAAAAAAAATGACTTTGACCTTATTCAATATTCAATGATTAAGTTAATTGTTGTCAAAAGGTAGTTTAATTTTACCATTTTCTTACCAACAATTTAATATATTCACATGAAAGTTAGTTGATGATTTAATCTTGAGAAATAATAATAAATTGTTAAGGTTGAAGAAGGAAAAAAAAAGTTCAATGGAAAAGTCAATTGAATTGATAGAATGGAAAAAGAAATGAAAAAGTTAATAGAAACTTTTTCATCTCATTTGATTTGATTCATCTTCTTGATTGTAATTGATTGTGGTCATTTTTGTTTACCTATTTCATGGTGATCATTTGAGTTTCGTTTTTCCCTGACAATTCAATATTGAAACTCAGATAATCTTAATCACATTGAAAGCAATCGAATCAAATGTAATAACAACAATCGTAATCAACTCTAAATGTGATTGGGAACAGAAAGAAAAACCTATCACCTAATTTATCTTGATCGTTTCTTCATCTTCCCAATCATCTTTATCCTCTCATCATCATCATCATCATTTCTCTTGACCCTCCAAGTCCATTTACTTTTGTATTGGTCATTGTCTCATCATCGATATTGAAACTTCATCAATTTCTAATCCAATCACATCAACAGATAAGTGATGATGATGAAGATGAAGATGAAAATAAGATGATAATGAAAGTATAGGTAATAATCATCATCATCACTTTAATCATGGTAACTACATTTTTATCATTCTAATCACCATCATGGAAACGGAAATGATTGACGAACCTTCTGAACCGGAAATAGATCATAAAATTTTATCATCAGTCTCACTTTTTTTTTATTTCTCTTCTCTTATCATTTCCTGTTCTGTGAACACATTGATTCCACCCATTGAATAGTAATAACAAGAAAAGAAAAGACATTTTATTATCTTAATAATTGTTCGATAATTTTTTTCTTCTCTTTTTAGAACTTTTTCCCCTCGATTCTCTATCACATCTCTCTTATTATTATCTAATCTGAAAGGCATCAAACCACCATTGAGCATCAAAAGAGAACACAGAAAAAAAAATTCGAAAACTTATCAATAATATTATCGTATGAATCATTAATTATTTTAGATAAACAAATTGTAACAATTAAAAAGTTCGAGAGTTTGAGTTTTCCACCAAGAGATGGCGCTTGTTGTTACGAAAATGAGAAAACTTTAATTACAATTAAGTTAATCTAGTAAACCTTGTAAACTCAATCCCTGATCTCAATGATTTATCATGATTATCAAGCTTTTCAATTGATTAGCAAAAAAAAAACTCAATTCTCTAAAGGGAATCAAGATAATCAAGTTGTTATTGGTTCTAATGATCTTTGAGAGTTAATTACAATTAAATTAAATCTCATAAGTGATTAGTGTTAATAAGAAGCATTTTTCTCATCCCCTTACAACCTTTGGATGTTAATCTTGATTGTGGTTCAATACAATCTACTAATGATGATGATAATCAATGTAACAAAAGGATAACAATCAGTTGATTCCTTTTGTTGAAAATTTCCAACCATTAACATTATTGCTTCGAGCAATTTGATTCAGTTAACTTTTCATTTCTCATCGAGAAAAAAAACGTGATCTGAGTCTCATCAACTGAATTAAAGTTAATCACAATCCATTTGAATCTATGTTCTCAACCAATGAGATTGCGTCCATACTATAGGATCATATTGAATCATGATGATCATCATCATCTTCACCATGAGCATCATCATTATCATCCTAATATGATGAGCATGATCAGGGAACTGAATTACAATTGAAATGGAAAAGAAGAAGAAAAAATTGAAAAAAAAAGTTTTTGCTTTCCACTCGAAAAGACAATTAATCAATTCACCAACATTACCATGCAAATTATCATGTAATTAGATTGTTGATTAAGGTGGATAATTAGTTAATTACACTGCAAGCTCAAAGTTTAAATGATTTACATGAATTATAATTAAAAGAAGATGAAAATTAAAATTTTCCCAATTCACTTTTCTCAACCAACATTTTAATCAACACATTTTCACACCAACGCAATTAAATTTAATTCAGTTATTGTTTTCTTCTTCTTTCCAACTATTAATATATTTTAAAAATTAACCTTTAATTGAGTTAATTGTTGATTATCAATCATTGATAATCAATTAATTATTGTTGCTGTTGATACGATATCATTTCGTTGGCGTAATTTATTACTCTTTTAATTTGTTCATTAAGAAACAGCAAAACTGTTATATTAATTAAATTTATATTGTGATTACAAAGTTGATTAGTTAATTGTAACACATGTTAAACCATTAAGAACCATAAAATAAACATGAAATAAATAATTGAACAACATGATTTTGAACATGTTTGTTGATTGTAAATTGCGAACACACAAATTGTGATTAAAATCAATGATTAAGACTCAAGAAAGAAGAGTAAATTACACTTAACTGTTAATAGTTTAAACTAAATTAAATAAACTATCAACAAATTTTTCTTCATCATCATCTTAATTCTGTTAACAATCATCAATTGATCTTGATGATGATGATGATGATTAACTTACCTGCGGGCAATTAACTAACATTTTAATTCCTTTGGGCGACAATAATCGTCAATAAAAATCAACAATCAACCAAATCACTTACACCTTCATCATCATCATCATCACAATCTTCATCTTCATCTTCATATCGTCTTCATCATTATCGATACCATTTAATATCGTTGATTAATAATAATTAGTAACTTTCAATATACGGAAAAAGTTGTGTTTAAGTAAATTGTTATTGATGGTTGATTGTAATTACTTTTGATTGTGAATATCTCTTCTCTCTCTCTCTCTCTCTCTCTCTCTCTCTCTCTCTCTCTCTCATCATCATCATCTCAGCTGATGATTCATTGATAACTGCCTGAGTCCTTGTTCTAATTTCCAGATAAATTTAATCAATAATGTTAATTGCTAATAATCAATTTACTTTACCGATAATTTTTTTTCTCTTTTTGTTTTTGTTGTTTGTTTGTTGATTATTATTATTGATAGATGATAATGATGATGATATTAATCTCTTAATTCAGTTCTGTTGATTATTTGAGAGCACAATTTGTTTTTCTTTTGCTTTTTCTAACCATTTAATAGCTTAATCACTTTTCTCCTTTTCTGAATATCTCTTCAAGATATTTTATATTATTATTATATGAAGATGACCAAAAAACTACCCACTATTTAAGGTATTAATTAAATTGCCGATAACTCGTTTCTTAATCCAATTGTACATTGATTAATCCTGTTGTTGACACTAATTCCTTACCAATAGCCGCTTCAATGTCCAATAGAGTTTTTTTTAACAATCCAATCAAAATTATCATTGCAAGTTTATCCTCACAGTAATTAGTCAAATTTTATGATTGATTCTTAATTGCGGTTCAATAAGATGATCATGATTGATGCCATGTGAGTGGACCTTTGAGAGAGAGAGAGAGAGAGAGAGATGATTAAACATTAAAAGCTTGAATTTAATCCAAAATATTGATTACAATTTATCTGATCATCTGAGAAACATAATCTTGAGATAATCTTACTAATCCCTTTTTGTAGTTACATTTGCAATAATGTAGCAAGTTGTTAATCTCTTTCTCTCTCCCGATTAATTCATTTAATAAATATCTCTTGAGGTGATACTGAATTAGCTGATTTTGTAATTGAAATATTGAAACACCAGCACCTCTCGTTTTGCCTTCAATCGCCTCGCATTTGAAACAAAATTAATTGATTTGTATTGTGATAACTCACGCTGAGCCGATCGCCATTAATATTTTTTCTGGGAAGAGAAAAAAACAAAATTAAAATGAAAATTTATACAAAATGTTAAATTTATAACTTGATTATCACTCGTTCGGCTAGTATATTGTATTGTGTGTGAGTCGATTTAATCTGATTCCAAAGATTGATTTGATTAATCTCAAGGTTTCCATGATCATTTGAATACACAATATCAATTCCTAACAATCCTGATTAATTGAACGAAACCACTTTGAGTTCCATATGAAAATGGGCCAATTTAGTTTATCATTCAAGTCCAAGTCTCCATCATCATCATCATTATCATCATCTAGAGAGAGAGAGAGAGAGATATGAAGAAGAGGAAGAAGATAAATTATTGAGAAATAATAGAAAGTATTAGTAAACTGGTTTATCCACCATAAAGAATACAAATGCATCATGGAGGAAGAAAGGTAACAAATTGATGGATTAGAAAGAGATCATGAGAAACTGGAAGAAAATCAATGAAATCGTTTAAACTGTTATTCGATAATCCATCGATCCAGTTGATCACTATCATGGGAATATTCTCACCAAATTGTTATCAATTGAAGAAGCAAAATAAAGAACATTGTCAAATCAGCAAAAATTATCTACAGTAAAAAAGAAAACCAGTAAAAGAAAATATTAATCAAGTCATGGTTAAATATCGCCTCAAGGCAAATGTATTAAGAGAGATTGAAGAGAGAACAAGAAAATAACAGAATTGATTACTTGCTCTTTTATCTTCATCATTATTAGTGTTTTA